GAGAGAGAGAGAGAGAGAGAGAGAGAGAGAGAGAGAGAGAGAGAGAGAGAGAGAGAGAGAGAGCAAGAAACAGAGAGAGAGAGAGAGAGAGAGATTATTTTTGTATCAAACAGGTCACAGGAACTTGCCCACCTGGTGAGTCCGCCCTGTCAATGGCATGCAAGAAACAATGCTAGTCTCTCCGTCAGTACTCCGCCTCTTGAACCGAGTGCGCGCATCTTTACACTTGGCACCATTTGAAAGAATCTGGTCCTTCCTTGCCTGCCTTTGCCGATGACGTGGATCATCCTCTGGAATCTCAGTCTGCAAATGCAGGTTCCCGAGAGACAGCAAGTGAATCAGCCAAAGAAGGAGAGACCAAGAGAGAAAAAGAGCAAAAGAGAGACAAGACAAGAAGGGAGAGAAGAGGAATAAAGAGGGGAAGAGAGGAAGAACGAGTGGAGAAGACGATGAAATGAGAGGGAAGACAAGGAGAAAGGAGAAAGGTAAAGAGAATGAAGAGAAGAAGAGAGAGAGGAAGAGTAAACAAGAATCTGGAAAAAGGAGGAGAAGTGAGGGAAGAAGAGATAAGAATACCATAGGTTGGGGTGGCTGGAAAGAAAGAAGAGTCGTCGTTGAAAGAAGACAGCCATAGCCAGGGTCGATGCAAGGTGGCAGTTGAGACAACAGAGACCGGGGGAAGAAGTGGAGAGACAGTAGGACATCCCCGGCATTGAGGTTCTCGTTACTTTTTTTTAACTTATGTTCTTCGTGTTCCATTTCACTCTCTCTTTTGCTTGCATTGGTTGCTTCCATTGATGATTAGTTTTATTTAACGCTTGGGTAGCATTGCTTTGGCATGATTAAGATAATGGCAAACAGTTTTATTTCCCTTTTCGCACACGAAGAAAATTGAGGCTCTAGAATGTTGTCTTTGGGTTTAGGAGGCAGGTTGATCCCCCCCCCCTTCCCCCCCCTTGTTACCAACTTACCAGACTTAAAAAATGAGGCTTCCACAACACAGTTCCCTCTCCATCCCTCTTTTTAATCAAGAAGACGCAGAAGAAACAGACGAAGCAGATGAAGCCGAGGAAGCCGACGAAGCAGACGAAGCAGCAAGAAAACAAAGCAGAGGAAGCAGAGGAAGCACAGGAAGCAAACAAAGCAGAGGAAGCAGATGAAGCAGAGGACGAAGAGGAAGCAGAGAAAGCACAGGAAGCAGAGGTAGCAGAGGGAAGTACAGGAAGAAGAGGGAGAAAGAGGAAACGGAGGAAGAGGGGTAAGAACGAGGAAACGGAGGATGAGGAAGCAGAAGAAGCAGAGGAAGAGGGATAAGAACGAGGAAGAAGAGGATGCGGAGGAGGATAGTGTGAGGGAGATTGGGGACAGAGGGAAAAAGAGTACAAAAATAAAAAATCACTTCGGAACGGAGCAACAACAGAAAAATGTAAAAAGGCGGAGTGGAAACGCCGGAAAGATACCCGGCCCATGTGGCTGAATAGCACACGCATATGACTGTTAGTGAACAGAGCGCCAGTTTGAAACCTGATGGGATCAGATGAATAGAACAAAGCTAGTGTTAGTAAACGAAAAGGAGGGGCCAAAAGGGGAGCAGCAACAAAGAGGAACTGTGCTGCTAAAAATAATGTGGAATAGGCCCTTACCTCAACTATACTGTGGCCTTCCTTTGGATCATACAGCACCGGGGCACTAACTTCGACCTGATTAACGAGAAAGGGACAAAAACCACAGGAAACGATAAAGGTTATTCCACACACTGTCACACACCAATTGCCATGACTGCTTTCGTTGGTCACGAAAGACATTACAGGTGGAGGTTCACACACACACACACACACACACACACACACACACACACACACACACACACACGCACATGCACGACCACACACAAACACAGGGAGAGAGACGCACACACACACACACACACACACACACACGCACATGGCAACCTTACGGCTCGAAGAGCAGAAGCTTCGCGTCTGAATCCCACGAAGGCGCGAAAGCGCGTAAGAATTTGACTGGCTTTGCAGATACCGCTAAATACATCAAAAGACTTCAAACCCAAGGTTTCCTCAAAGGGAATGAGCCACAACCATACATAACACACTCGGGCGGACACCCACGCCCACAGACGCGCAAACCCACACACACACACACACACACACACACACACATCCTGTGCACGTGCTAGCACAA